TTAACTCCTTAAGGACATTGACATTTTTTATATAGATTTCAATTAAACGTAAAAAATACTTAAAACAGAAAAAAAACGAAAGAAATGCGTTTATTTTGAAGAAAAAGCTTTAAATTTTATTTTCCTTTGTTTCGCCTGTCTGTGAAATGTAACACCGATGAGTCATTGTTTACACAGCTGGGTGACCTTGAACACAGCTGGAGTCCGATTTCCCGGGACATTCTCATAGACGTCTCGGGAGGACAAGGGTTTAAAGTAGGGTGACTATAAGCGACACAGAAATTTTTAAATATTTTTAAAAAATTCAAAATTTTATTGCGATTTCCGACCCCCCCTAATTAATTAATTATATATTTATAAAAATATATTAATTAAAAAAATTAAAAAACCATCGGAGGTCGTTTTTGACATCAGAAACTAACTTTAAATAACTTTACTGAATGAAAATCCGTGCGCTACAACTTAAAAACCATGAAATAATTTTGATAAAAAACTCCCATTAAAAAACAATTAAGCCTTAATCGAGCCTTCACATAGGCTCATTAAAATCGCGATAAAATTTTTTTGCGCGGGAAAAAAATTTTGAAAAAATTTCGGGACCTAAAAAACATTCCAAAAATTCAAAAAAAAAATTTTTTTTCAAAAATGGCCTTAAGGACCACATTTTTTGTAACGCTATGTAGGCTTGACGTATATATACGTCAATGGAGACTGAGGGGTTAAAGCCTTAACTGTATCCCGAACAACAACCAAAGTTGTAGGAGGAAATTCACCTATTTTACCAATCTAGGGATCCCCCTTCAAATTTTAATATCAACTCAAAATAATTTAAAAAGACAAATTACAATAAAACGGTTTATTATCCAACTATCAGAAATTTCATAACATGCCAAGAGAGGAAGGAGCAATTAAATAATCAAAATTATAAAGGATTTAAAAAAATNAATTACAATAAAACGGTTTATTATCCAACTATCAGAAATTTCATAACATGCCAAGAGAGGAAGGAGCAATTAAATAATCAAAATTATAAAGGATTTAAAAAAATATATAAAAATGGGGAATATCGCACTTCTAACAATCTCTGCGAATATGTGGGCTAAATTTAAAGAATCCGTGCTTCTTGCATGTACAGTACAACTGTATGTGGCCAGCTCACGCATCAGAAAACCTTCTGATTTATTCGTGTATTCACCAGATGGAAAAACAAAAAATATCGTGTATCCACAAGCACTCCAATAAATAAATAGAATTGAAACGACACTTTGAAATGTTTTCCCGATGAAAATTAATAATAATAAGTTTCAATAAAAATGATAAAATGTAAATTGAATTTTATCATAACGAGTTTGCTTGAATTTCCTTTCTTCTGAGATCGCAGCAATGCGCGACGGGTAAGCTAG